TACTACTACTACTACTACTACCGAGAGCATGTAGCACACACGGGCAGCATATCATCGCTGCCACCTGTTGAAGGACCATGCGTGAATGGAGGTTTCGCCGATGCTGTGGGGAGGTTGCCCGGATGCAGCGTATGGCGTGTCTGAAGCCGGCTCTGAGGGTGGAAGCGGGATCAGCGGGTCGCCTTTCTTGCCACCCTCCCCTTCACAAAAGTCGTGCGTGTCACCACGTGTACGTGCTGGGCTTGACAGAAAGGCTGCCACGCGGGGACAGGCTTTGGAGGGCGGCGTTGTCAAGCACGGGCAATCACGAAGAGCCAGTGCGTCCGCATTGCAGGTGAAGAGCCCCCCAACATCGCTGACCTTGCCGGAGGCGTCTCCTTTGGGGCATCGGCATGATGCGTTCGTCGTGGGTCCCGGTGACCGCACAAACCAGACGACACGGCATCACTGTTTGCAATCGAAGCAACCCGACTACTTTCAGCAAGTGCAACCTGCAGGGCCCTAGCTGGCGACAGGAGGTCGAAAATCGCCGACATGCCTACCAGCCGTGCGGGGTCCACCGCCTCGATGCGGTTCGAACCAACGACGCCGCATGTTGTGCCACCTTGCTTACAGGTCGGCATGCGCGCGCGCATCGACGTGAACTCACACCAAGACAGGGTGCAAGATCGCTATAGGGCAAGCGGTGTATTGTGAGCCATTTGTGGCGAATGCGGCGACAAGGTGACCGGTGTTTCATCCGCCGCACACGATCGCACGTAGGCACAGAAGCTTCGAGGGCCCTCGTGACCGGCAACGCTTTGACTTGGAGCCAGAGTCATTTCGTTACGATGCTGGCATGCTGTGCCGACGGTTCATATTGCTCGCAATCATGCGGTAGACTTTTCACCCTACTGTAGCCGGCCCTCTTCGATAGCTTTGGGCTTTGGCTTCACTGAAGCCCCTGAATCAGGATGTCAGGTCGCTAGGCGTCGAACTTCACGGGCACAGTGGTTTAGCTTCGAACCCGTGTCGATAGTGCGACAGCATGGGTCGCAGCTGCAGGTCCACCATTTTCAACATCTCCTGACGGGTGGGTACGAGCGGGCCGATAACTCCACAGTTGGCAATCAGATCAGCAAGCATTCCATAGCATTATATGCATTAACCACAAAACTCCGGCAGACCTGAACCTTACTTAATTTTCCCTTATTCTGCGCTGTTTCATCAGCGCTGCATTGACCAACTGTGTATGGAAGCGCTTCCGCTCCCTGCCTGTAGTTGTTTCACGTGGTCAGCAATAATGACTTGCTGAATCTTATCGTGTAATTATGGGCAGCACTAGCTACTACGAGAGAATACTCGTTGGCCAGTGTCGCCATAGCATGCCCACCGGTTTGAGTGTGACCACAAAGTGCATGCGGAGACTCATGTCGGAACAAAGTTTGCGATCTGTGTGGGTAACATGGGCTGGTCCATTGATTGAATTCTTTTGCTTCGGGCTATGATTTGATTGGCAGTTGCCGGACAAGTGCTGGCTGCAGGAGCTGGTGGGCATCGTGCAGCTGTTTGCCAAGCGTCTTCGGGCAAGGACGGCCAGGGCTGCGGCATGTGTGTCTTTTTGTTGCATGGCTGTCGCTGGGGCACCGCAGTGGCCAGGATGATGGCAGCAAACGGTCCATTGACGCAGCAGCCCCGACATATGACATGTAGGAGCTAGGCAGCAGAAGCTGAGCAATTTAATCGCTTCGATTCGGCTCAAACAGCGCGGATGGATCGTGACATCCGAAATGGCAGCTTCGAGCCAGGCTGGATGGATTCTGGACGAAGCTTGAAAAAAACCGTTTGTGCCATCCTAAGTCCTAAGCAAGGCGTCCAAGATCGCTGGGGCTGTTGCTACAGGCGGAATCGCATTCGGAAGCTTGGACAAAATAGGCCCAGCCTGCAGTCGGAGGAAGACCACATGTGGATAAACTGGTTTGAGGCTTCTACTGGTTTGCAAAGCCGCGCTTCGAAGCTTTGCTGATTCCGACGCCATCTGCTCCTCGCAAACTGTGTCTTGGTCGTATGAAGTCCCATGCATTCTCACCTGTGGCCACCTTGACGCTTGCAGGTACAGCGAGCAGGATTTTGCGGCAAGTACAGAGTTTGCTGGTTCTCGACCCGGTTACGTTTACAAGATGGACCACAGAGGCAGCCGCACAGATCAGGGAAACACATGAGAATATTTTGACAGATGCAGTGCCTGCGGCTGTTGTCGATAGCAAAATACGTGACCTGTGCCCCACTGGATGTGTGGCTGTGATTCCGTCAGTATGCGGCTGCAATGAGCACTCGGTGCGTCGACACCGAATTCAGGCCTCGGCTACTACAAGGACATGCCGGCAAGCAGTGTCACGCATTGATCTGCCGGATAGTGAGGTTGTTAATCGAGTTGCGCGCAGAGCGTCTTGTCGTGCACAAAGCTGCACGACCTGCACCCAAGAAAGAGCGGACAATGACACTGTGCTTGTACTTTGTTTTTGTTGCTGGAGTGAGTAAGATGTTGCTTGAGGACCGTCGCCGTAGGTGGACATTCACTGGAGTTCTCCGCGACTGAGGCCAAACTCCCTGTATGAACCCCTGTGTGAGATGACTTGGCGGGCCTTGGACTTGGATTTTTCCTGGAGCCGAGCAATGCTGTCATGCAGTCACGCTGTGTGATTTGCAGATCACGGGACATGTGCTTCATGCCGTGCTGAACGTCGACGAATCTTTGGACGAGAACGGTTTGCCCGTCCCGAAGGACGATTTGGCGCTTCTTGTGCGATGTTTCAACCACCGACGCCACAGAAGACATGGCGCGCAAGTCGTTTGTGCAGGAGCCGCAAGGTCAGGTCAAAATGCTGGTGCAAACCAACATGGAGATTCTTGGCTGCATGCTTTTGTGTTGGAACGATTTGTTGGAAGCTTGTCGTGGTTGTGGCATTGAAACGATCGACTAATGAATAATGAAAGAGGGCATTGAAACGATCGACTAATGAATAATGAAAGAGGGCAGGCGGAGAAATGACCAAGAAGACGCAGGCATCTGCAGCTTCAGGGGACCGCGGGGTGAAGAGAAGGACCCCTGTCCACTGCCATTTCTTCCTAACCGTGCATTGTGTCTTAAAAATGCATGCATGAAGTATCATGAAATGCTCGTTGTTCCTGTGAGGACAGGGACATCATCTTTCGCTTAGATTCCCATGCGATTCCGTTGCATCATTCCTTGCATCTATGTGGCCGAGCTGTCCCCTTAAGAGTTTGTGTGTGTGTGTGTGTGTATGTGTTTGCGCGACTGCTTTCGTGCGGATGGACGCGTCGCCTCAACACACTGTGCAAACCTGTGCTAGAAGCAAATGGATGTCAAAGCCTTCGGGCTTGCGTGACAGGTCCTGGCTTGACTTGCGCTGCACGGCCTACTGCTAAAATATAGCATACATATATATATATATGTATGGTACCCCCCTCCCAAGATCTACTTCGAAAGGTCTTGCATGAACTACTCTTCTTTACAGGCACATTATATTCTTATGGAAGTGCAAAAGCCACCGTAAATTGCAGTGTTTCTGACGGTATCACATAACGATACATCTGTTGTAATTACAAACTTCACGCGCTGAAGATCCACTCAGCGACTACTGGAATAAAGACCAAAAAACCAAAGTTCTGGAGGTCTTCAAGGCCACGGCCTCTCAATTTTTTTTGGAGAGACTTCCTTGTGTGTTTGCAGTATGTTCATATAAAACCTTGCCAAAAAGCGAGGCGGTCTCAAAAACAGGTGAAAGTGCTACAAATACCCGAGGAGGTTTCAACAAAAGCCAAAAATTGAGAGTCCGTTTGCAAAAGCAGAAAAGAGAAATAGTTTCACGGCACGAGGTTTTCACGACATGCAAGTCTTTCCAGTCAGGGCATCCGCCCAAGTCTTGCTGTTGTCCACCAAGGTTGAGCCGCAAACTGAACTTAATGCGCGCGGTTCTTAAAGTGTATTCTGCAGGATGTCTTCTGGAGTGAAGTGGCTGGGCATGGCCTTGCGGTGCCCAGGTCGAGATTACTTGAGAGAGTTGACTTGCCACAGAGACAAGCAGCGCTGCGGCCTCGAGGAGTTTTTCATCGACAGATTTTGCGACCAATGTTGTTGTTTTTGGAGGCAGCATCAGCGACGAAGCGCAGGAGGTTCTCCAAGACCTCCAGGAGTCACTGATGCCGTGGTTTCTTTTGGTCGATGGTCCAACTGGAGGAGCATCCTGTGATGTTCTTCGAGCCATTGAAGTTTGTGCTGGCGGCCACCCCAGCTGGATTCAAGCGCGACGACCGTGACTAGCTGCTTGCTCACCATACCAGCCTCGAAAAAGAACACCGTGTTTCTCACCTCACCGGTAAGGATGATGTGACAAAAGAGTTCATCAAGCTTGTGGTGGAAGAGCGGGTCCGTTTCCTCAGCAGGTCATGCTGCCAATTGTCTCTCACGAAAGCCTTGCCCCGAAGTCCGCAGAGGGCTTGGAATTCAGTTCGAACCTGCCAGTCGACAGTAAGATATTGATACACCCAAGACCGCCAAGAGCCCTAGCCCTAGCCGGCCCTAGCGGCCCTCGCCTGTCTCAACGACCCTGGAGCGGCCAAGTATAGGGCCTTGCGGAGTCTTCATGCGATGGGCAGCCGCTATTCCTGTGCTTGTTGGTTCTTGGCCTGACGGCCGGGTGCAGTATCCTCACTATCCTGGACGCCACGTCCTGACCCTTGCAGGCCCGCGGCGATGTCGCAGTTCTTGTTTACGCACTTTGAAGGTTGAATTCCGGACACGTGAGCGTCTTGACGTGCAATTCAGGTCCCTGGGACTTTGCTTTCCTCGGTGATGTGCCGTTCGCATCTGCGGCCTGGGTTCGGGAAGAGGATTTGCAGCGACAAGTCTGGGTTCCCGATCCTTTCAACGCAAGGCCAGTTGCTTCTGTTGCATGGGAGCTCCAAGGGTGAATTGTTGCTCCCTGTGGAGGGAATGGCTTTGCCCTTCGCAAGCGTGCCCGGAGTTCGCCACCAAGCCATGTGCTCGATGCTGTGATCGGCGGCTTGGGGAAACTTGTCAGATCAGCAGAGAGTGCTGTGACCCTGCTGCCTGGCTGAAGAGTCTGTGCCATCGGACAAAAGCATCGAGCCAAGTGCAACTGCGGCCTGCAAGTTCAGGTTGCGCTGGGGCGGCTTGGCGTTGCTGCCTATCGCATCTATCTCCCAAGCTCCGTGAGCTTGTTGTACTTCCAAGCTTGCGCTTTGCACTGCGCAGTCTTTATCAATCGCAGCCTGGTTTCACGGTCCCTCGCCTCAAGCGATGCGAGAGCTTCTTGAGGAACTAGCGGTAACTAGCGACCTGCCAGAGCCAGGCATGTGAGTGGCTACAGCCCGTTCTGGGTGAGCCTCGCCGAGTTCCGGGCACACAGCCCCGGAAGCTTCGGCTTTGTGCCTCGGTCCCGGTCAACACCACATCGAATCCTGCATGGGTCCATGCTGTCACCCTGGAAGGAGCTCTTGGTGCTGGCAGACAGCCGCTTTACCGGAGAGGCACCCGTGCATCAAGAAACCCACGACTGGCTCCAACCTGGAGGCGGGAGGGGAGTACCCCCCGTCTATAGCAGCGAAGCAAAATCACACAATACCACCTTTGTTTCAGACAGCGAGTCGTGTTTGTCAATCTCGGAAGCTAGTTGGAAGCCACCTTCTCCGAAAGGCGAACTCTTGTATTTAAAGCCGACTAGCTAGCAGACAGGCCTTCTGCGGCCCGTCGAGGTTGGCAGTCGAAAGCTGTCTGTCCATGTGGTTAAGTTTAGAATCTAGAACGAGCTGACGACCGCAGGCCCACATCCTCCCGCAGCCCACGCAGCACATTGCACATGTGTCCGTGGTTCCGTCAAAAGACAGTGGCAGACGTGGCAACGTGCAGGCGCCCGGTCGCCGCACAGGCAGTGAATGTCCGTCCAGCCCTGGCACCTGTGCAGGTGACATTGAAGTTGTCCGAAGGATGCGGCCCTGGCGGCTTGACTGCCATATGTGGAACATGCCACGAACTGAACGTTCTGCCGGATCCATGAGGCCTATAAAACATAAATCGCATGACGAGGCATGACCGCCAAGATTCGGTTTGACGACCACCACCTCCTGGCCACAGAGCGCAATGTTGGCAAAACGACGCAGTGGACGGAGCAGGTCCCAGAAGCGAAGCTGTGGACACCGTCGGAACCCCAACTCCACGTGCTTACCCTCAGCCTCTTCTCTTTGGAGGGAGTGCAGGTGGATGCCGTTTCGGTTCGCTTTGGGCTCCGGACCGTGGAGTCGACGGAGGGTCAAATCCGCATCAACGGGGAGCCTCTGCTCTTGCTGGGGGTGAACCGGCACGAGAGCCATCCCTTTGGCGGCATCTTTATGACTCTCGATGCTCTTCGGCGAGATATTGAACTGCTGAAAGAGCTTGGTGCCAATTTCGTTCGAGGCTCTCACTACAGCCAAGACCAACGCTTTCTGGACTTATGTGATGAGAATGGCTTACTGGTCTGGGAAGAGGCCGTGGCCTGGCAGCCCTCCCTGGAAGACCTGCAGGATCCGATTTTCATGAGCCAGCAGCTCCAGGCTCTGGATGAGACGATCGATGCTTCCGTGAACCACCCAAGCGCCACTTGTAGTGAAGTGAAGTTGTAGTAGGCACATGTGGACAAACACGGCACAGTCTCTTAAGTCCCAGGTCATCATTTGGGGATTCCTCAATGAAGGCGAGGCGAACGTGAGGGCTTCCAGGGAAGCATACCAGCAGCTGGCAAAGTTCACCAAATTGAAAGATCCTTCTCGCTTGGTCTCGTGGGCATCGAGGCACAGAGCCACCCTTCAGCTGCCAATAGCGGTGGCTTTTGGCCTGCGAGGCACAAGGTGCGCGACGAGACCCTGGATCTGGCCGATGTCATTGCCTTCAACGACTACCCAGGCCGCTACCACCAAGAGCTCTGCAGCACTCCGGCAAGCTACAAGTAACTGTGCCATCGGTCGCCAGGCTGGTATGATGCCCTTGTGCCGGACATTCCGGCTGTCTGGCAGAGCTATGCTGATTGGGTGCGGGTCCATCACCCTGGCATCGCCCTCACGGCAGGGAGCGGGTACCGTGCGAGAAGCCTGCAGCTCTGAGGCAAAGCCGTGCTCATTGCAGAAGCAGGCGCCAGTGGCCTGGCCAATTTTCTGCGGCCAGCGAATTCATCTGGCGCGGGTCTGGACGCTTTCAAGCAGCTCACGCTCTCTTCCTGCGGTGTTCGCGGCTGCATAGACGTGAAAGTGTATGTTGTCAGGAGATGTGGTCAGAAGACCTGCAAGCGGCCATAGTAGGCACACTTTTCAGTTAAGAAGCGGAGCGTCTGCCAGAGTGCATCAAATTGGCGTGACAGCTGCGACGAATAATTCTGAAACTCCCTGCCATGCTGTAGCAGGTGCGACGATAGCATCGGCAGTGGCTGCCGGATACGCGGGAGTCGCTTTGTGGCAGTTTGCCGACTCGCGCGTGGACGTCGCACTCCTCGAAGAAGACAACCAGCGGCGGCAGGAGTGCCTCGCTTTGGCAAAGCGGTCCCATCTCAGATGCGCCCCTCAATGCTCCGAGGCTCCCGGTGCCCATCTTGGAAGTCGGGGCCGGCTCCGCCTGGGTGGAGCAAGTCGCGGCGGGGGTCACAAGTCACAAATCGCCATATGCCAAATTACTTGGTGTTTTTGCCAGGTTGGATATCAGATAACGAACTCTCCTTTCGGACATCATATGGCCTTGCGGCCACGAGGTCTGAACAACAAAGGTTTGCTGTCTCTGTCGAGGCTGGAGGTTTCACGCACCCTAATGCAGCACAAGCCTTTGCTTGTACAAGCGTAGGCAGCATCGCAAGCTCGCCTTCGAAGTTGCTAAAGAGCCTCAATCAAAGCAAGACTTCCGTGTGTCTATTGATGATCGGTGCCTTGTCTCGTGTTCAGAATGTTGAGTGCTGAGCCGAGGAAGGCTTTCGTGGCTTCTGCTTCCCGATCGTGCCGGGAAGACCTCTGGAGCCTTCGACACCAACAGCCGTGGTAGAGATCGAGTCGTTGGAGCCGAACGATGCCATGCAATCACATGCAGGCAGTCACGAGCTGGTTCGGGAGCGAAGCGATGCATCGCGATGCATCGCTTCGCTCGCGCAAGAACAACAGTTCAACATGTTTCAACCTGCAGGTTGCACCGGTTGCATCCTGGCAGCGCACACATGGAATCCGGCAGACAGGCACAAGGTCAGAATTTTGGTGGGGTCTTTCCGTGGTTCTTCTGGAGGCCTCCAGGAGAGCCAGGTCTGCGAGTACACGGCCACCGCCTGGCTTCCCGTGCAGCCCGATTCGTTCTGAAAGCGGGGCTGCTGAGCCTGGCAGGACTGTAGACAGAGGTTGACAGTTAGTGCATCGACGTGCATTTTGCTGAGAGGGCACTCGGACGGCCGGCTTGCAGCAGTCGGCGGCTTCGTGACTGTCGCAGGTGCAAAAGCCCAGTTTAAAGAAAGATTCTTCACTGGACGGGCAGCAGGAAGCACAGCACTTGTTCAACTTGTTAAGTTGTAGGCCGGCCTTGATTAGGTACTCGCGATGTTGCCTCCAGCTACGTTGCCGTCAGAGAAGCTCCGACATCGCTTTGGCGGTTTGAGATGCAAGACGACCCGTGCCTTGCCGATGCAACCGCTTCTCTTCATGTCTTTCTTCATGTCATGTTGATGACAGGCTAGACTGACTAGATTTTCGCCTGCCGAGGAATGTTTTTCTTCTGAGGGTGATCGCTGGCAAACGTTGTGGTGGAGTTTTATCGCTTGATGCCGGTCGCCTTCCAGAAGATCTGCGACAACTGCCGCACTAGTCGGAGAATGTCGTTTTGCACTCGTTTGGAGAGGGAATGCCGGCAAGCGAAGGAGATGGAAACTCGGTGTATGCAGTGGTTCATATGTGCCTCGGTTCTTAAAATGATTTGTTGTCCAGAAGTGCATGGGTGCCAGACGCAACAGAGGGGCATGCGCTGGAGTTAGAAATTTCATGTCTATGCCACTGCCTGTGCAGGGATGCTTCATTGGCCACCCTCTTCAAGATGCGTGTGATCGTTTGAGCAGCTTGAGCTTCGAGCTGAACGTGGAGCTAGGTAGTCGATGGAAGCAGCACGTTCCAGTTCCAGATCTTGCTGTTTGCTTCTTCGACCTCCATGACGTCTTTGGATCATCGCGCAGAGCAACGAGAGCTGAAGGGACTCGACCGGAACTTGCTCTTGCAATGGTCAGCGATACTGGGTAACAGCCAACCGACACAGTGTTGGGTGCTGGGAGCCGGCACTAGGAACGAATAGTTCAAGATGCTAAAAAGAAATCGCACCCAGGGCTTTTGTGCCGCAAGCGATGCCTGCCACAGCACCTTTCCGAAGCCTCTCGCACTAGGTCAAGCTCGATCAGAAAGGTACGCCTGTGAAAATTGCCAGACCCTTGGGACTTCACTGGGCTGTTGATATTGAACTCTGGCTCTTTTCTTGTTTTCAGGAAAGGCGCGACGCGCGGCATCCGGAGAAGAAGGCTTCTGCGGTTCGGTTCCCGTGCCCCCAAACTCACGCGGAGCGCCTTTTTAGAAGTACTTTGCGCCTTCGGCTTCGAGGCCCAGGGCTGGGGCCCCTGGCAGGGGCCTGCAGGGTTTCCGTAGCCACCGGCACTCTCCGGCCATGGATGCCGCACTTTGCGGGCATTGCTGTGTGCCTTTTGGCACTTTGCCATGCCGAAGAGAGAGCGAAGTCGGACCTGGAGGCCGAGGCCGAGGCGCAGCAGGCGCAGCAACTCCTTTCCAGGGCAGCAGCACAGCGCTTGGATCGGCGCCTTGTCTTTTTTTCACCTGCCACGGTCCCTAGGCCCTACCCCCCACACAACAACGAAGCAACAAAAGCTTTGTTTGCTTGGGGCTATCATTGTGCCGCGCACTGGCAGGATGTGCGGTGTCGAGCGGTTGACAAAGTCCCATGCAGTGGAACGCTGGGTGAGGCAGCGCTTCCAGGCACAAATCGAGCTTTCGATAAATCTCGGCTGATTGTCAGCTGTGCTCCTGCAGCAGTTGCTGGACGCCATGGTCGGAGCCCCACCGAAGCACAGCTTGCCAGAGGAGCCATGCTCCCTCATGCGGATGGGGTCGCAAGCGCGAACCCTCTAACATGCGCGAAGCCGTTGTTGCCAGAGGAGCTCCGAAAGCTGGGAGAGGCACTGCTGGCAGCTGCAACGCCTGCGGAGCTCGGGCCTTTGCTGGTGACCTGGACCACCGGTGAAAGGAGCTTCGTGCAGCAGGCGCGCACTGTGGGCTCGAGGGAGAGCCTTCTTTCAAGCCGTGTCCTTGCAGGCCCTCAATCTTGGGTTGTCCATTCGACGCAATGTGCCACATCTGGAGAAGAGGTTTGTTGTCGTGTCAATGGATCGACGGGCACACCAAGAAGTGAAAGACTTTGGGTTCCAGTCCGTGCTGCACCCGAAAGAAGCCGATCTGTCAGACGTGATCTGGAAGTTCCGCTGGCATCTTCTGCTGGTAGCCGTCAGGTATGGGCTGCGCCTGGCAGTAGTCGACTCTGATGTTGTCGCATTCCGAGATCCCTTTCCTTTACTTGGCCATGACGCTGACTTGGAGATTGCCACGGAGCATTTCTGGCCGGAGAAGCATTTGTGGAAAGGCCGGGCTGCTGCTCAGCTCAGTCTGTGACACCTTTGGCTATCGTTTTGTGGAGAGGCTGGGTACGGCCCGAGGATGACCTGAGCACCGGCTTCATTTTCGTCCGCCCATCTCCGACTCTGGACACCTTTCTGGATGCCTTCCTTGCAGATCCTTGCTGAACCTTAACTGTCTCTGTGCTTGTGGGTGATGTTTCCTAGCCCGTCTATGCTTCGACAAAGGCAAATGCAAATGAATCGCTGCCTGGCGGACTTCTGCGGGACCCCTTCGATCAACGTGTGTTTAACAAGCCGGGGGCCTAGGGCCCAGGCCCACACTGCCGGAACACTATCAATATAAGTTTGTGAAGAGACTGCCGCCTCAGGTTTGTGAAGGGCGTCGCTGCGCGGTGCAGTCCGTGTGTTCAAGGGCTCTTCAACGACATGGTCCTGCAAGTGTCACCAGGTGGGGCGACGGGCCGTTTTGCCTGCATTGCGCATATTCCGCCTGTGTGTGTGCTCAGGTGTACCGGGGCGAACTTCTAAAGATCAATTACGTTTGCGAGTTCTTGATCCTCGGGAGGCTTTGGTGCCAAGCTTGTTGCAAGAGGCCCGTGCTGGTGCTTGCGAGGTCGTGGCCAATGGAGTGAATTTCTTTTGGCGGAAAGCACATCTTCAAGGCGAGAAGCCGACGATGCCGGCTCTTGCTCATGCCAACGGCGTCGGGCCGAAAGACTACTTTCTCCAAGATCGGGGTGCTTGGTTTTTGGATGACCTCAAAGCGGCCTGGCTTATGTTTTACTCTTTGGGTCTTTCGGCTGCTCTGACTCTGGCGCCTCTGGCTGCACTTCCTGGCACCTCAGGAGCGCTTTGGCCTCAGGCCTCGCTTCTTCGTTTACCGGCATCCGTCGAATCTCTCCTTGAAGGAGGACTTCGCACACTTGGCTGGGGCTTTGGAAGTTGCGCGGACTTTGGGGCGTCGCCTTATCCTCCCAAACAACATGAACTGCCAGAATTGTCCAGCTTTTGAGGCCCACTGTGCAAATCACATCCTGCAATGCCCTCACCTAGCCAGCATAACGCCCCTTCAGGCATATGGCTTGAACGTCAGCCTTGGTGGCATATGCACTGTGGACTACTTTGCGTATATGTTCCGCTTCTACCACGTGCATTCATCAGAGGTGGTGCCTGCTGGCACAGGTGTTGATCCAGCATTTGAGGCGTTGTGGGGCAAGCCGGTGAAGCTCGCAGCTGACCCCGTAGATGTGGCACGAACGAGCACGCGCACGGAATATCCAGTGGTCTATTTTCCGGGAGATGTCCGTGAACTCCGCGACGCTCTTCAGGCCAAAGGCACACTGCGAAGGATCCGCCTTTGCAGTGCAGATCGTGCAAGACCGCAAATCCACCATCACTTTCTACCGGCACATGTGTGCCTGGGAGGAATGACTGCAGCTATCATGAATGGCCTCATCGGTTCATGGCCTCTTTGCACAGCTCAAGAGCGTGAGAGTCAGGCATCGTGGCAAATCCATTCGACTGTCCGTTTTTTCCATCCATTGTCTGAGGCTTGCCGTGACGAGGCCTTTGTACGGCATCATGGGGCACCCTGCCAGTCGTCAGCTGGCCAATCTGGATGCGGCGCAGAGGGATTCGTGTGCTGCTGGTCGCATCATGGTCGCGCTGATCGCTTGGAGTGTCTCGGATGTCCAAGCTGAGATAGTGAGCTGAACCAAGTTCCCGTCCCGGCTTGCACCTGGATGCACGCTGATCAGGTACTACACCGGCGTAGCCTGGGACTTGCCGTGCGACTGTGGGTTATCCTGTCCAAACGTGCCCTCCTCCACTCCTGGAGTCCGCTGTTGCGGCAATGGTTCGGCTCAGTGCACATGGGCTGCTGAAGCCAATCTGGTGCCACCTGCACCGGCGAATCCTGACAAGGATCAGGGCCCAGATCTGTCAATGATCATACCTTGGGGAGCAGATCTGTGTGCAGGACCTTCCGTTTGCATCATCGTCGGTGCTGGAGTCGTTTGTGGTGGGGGACCTTTCTGCTGAGCAGGTGAGGGAAGTGGGAGCAGTTCTTCCACCTTTGTTGTGAGATTCCCGCGCAGGTCTTGAGCATTTGCTTGGCCCACCGCAGTGTGTACTTCATCGTTCGTGAGCCTCTAGATGGGGTGCCCGAAGCAGACTGCAACGCCTTGGTCAGTGCTTATGTCATTGGTCGACGAGAGTGGGAGGCCGCGAGGCGATGGTGGTTCCCCGGCAGAAACATCCCCTCTGAGCAGTCTTGCTTCTTCGCCTTGCTTGTCACTTCTTGCAGACTTCCAGGCAATTCTCTCTGAATCTTCGACGAAGTGGCAAATCACTGTCTGTTTCTGTGGCGAGCGGTGAACCTGACCAGCTGATCCTAAACCTCGGCAAAGTCAAACATGACGAAGATCAGCTTGGTTGCTCGCATGAGTGAGTCCGAGGCTCTTTGGTGGCACAAGTAGGATTTTGGCTTGCGTCCCGTGACATTAAGGATTTCTCGCTCAGAGCATCCCCGAGCTAAGCAAGCATCTGGAGAAAACAGCTGCGCTGCGGCGCGAGCTGGGTCGATATTTGGCAGGCATCACCTGAAGAATCATGTGGCTAAGCTGAGACTGTATTGCGGGTTTTCGTCCACATTGTGCAGGTGCCCGTGATCGAACTGCCCTGGTGCATGCTGCCATGGCTGCGACAGACACGACAAACTGTGCTCTTCACGTTCCAGACGGCTTCCAATTAAGTCCGGAGCATACCGAGCAGCCACCAGAATGCAACCAGGGGTGACCGCTTGCGTTTGCATCCCACCAATCATTATCCAGACAAATTCCTTTGCACAAGCACGAAAGCTGTAATTTGACAAGCGGTAGCAGAGCACCAAATCCATCGCGCCAGAGCCACCCCAGCAGCCTGTGATCGTTTGCATCCGAGCGACCGCGAGACCCCCAAGCCTTCAAACAGCAATTCACCGTCTTTCAAATTGCCTGTGCACGCTGCATCGGTGTCACTTCGAGCAAAGGAGCAAAGGAGTCTTCCTTGTCCTCGGTCATGCTATTCTGGGGTCAACTTGGGGGTGTTCTCTACCATGTCGTGGGAGCCCTGCAGGCCTGCACGGGAGCTGTAACGGAGCTGTGGCGGGAGCTGTAACGGAGCTTTAGCGGGAGCCACAGCGGGATCTGCAACGGGCTGTAATGGAGCCGCAGCTGGAGCTGCAGACTGGTGGAGCCGCAGCAGCAGCTGTAAGCGAGCTGCAGTGGGAACTGGAAGACCCCACCGATGCGTTGCGCAAGTGTAACAGCATGCCCAAACCCCTTGACACATAGTGCATGATGGTAGGGAACACCCCTTTGACACCTCACCCCAGCTCTCAGTCCTCAATGGTTCTCTAGCTGAAAAGTTGGCAAGGATGAAAAGGATGCTGGCAGTGGCGGCCAGAGAGTTCTACCAAAGCCCGGCGCCATCAGCAATGACCCAACCGGCAGTGCACAGCAACCTTGTGCCCTCTGAGGCATAGCACATCGGGTTGACAGGGTATTCTGAGTGGATTTTGCAGTCAGTGATGCTTCTGGTGTGCAGGTGCTTGTCAGCATCTCCGGTCTGCTTCGTGCCTCCACTGTGTGGTACCTCACGCTTGGAGGAGATGCTTCTGGAAAGTCTAGCCGGTTCTTGGATATGGGGATCTGAGGAGGCATAGCCTTGGAAGCACAACTCCGTGACGGTGCGGTGCAGAGATGCTCGAAAGGCTGCAGGGTGGTGCTTTAAGGCGCTGAAGCTGAAGCTGAGGCCTGCATGCAGCGCCTTTCTTGGAACTTGGCCTGCTCCTTTCGGAAGCGCTCGGAGGTCCTCGGGGGCCCGGGGGTCCTCAGATCCGGCTCGAGAGCCGCCCTTGCGGCCCTGCTTGCGGCGCAGGCCTGGCGCTCACGGACATCCGGGCGAGGACCTACGTCGACGCGGCTTCGCCATTCTCGAACCTGGGGCTTGAATGCTTTGCAGCTGATGCCGCCGTGCTCCTGCTTGGCCCGGGTAACTTGCCACTTGCCCGAAGGAGCCTGCCCTGTGCTTGGAGCGGAGACGGTAACGTGCCTTGCAGCTCGCGTTGAGTGCCGGCCTCCATCAACAAAGGACGTTACGGTCGGTGTTCGACGACAGCTTTCCGCTTTGTGATGTTTCTGAACATCGCAACGTAACTTCCCTGCTTCACATGGACCGGGCACAGTGGTCCATGCGAGATTCAGGACGACGGAGTGTTTGGGGTAGTCTTGGGCATTTCTTGTCCTCACACTGCTGGACCAGGAGTGGAAGCAGGTGGTCTGGCTTTGGTGCGCGCGGGCCAGTGGTGCGAACTTCTTATGCATCGAGTTGCTGCAGCTTGCCGGGCACTCGAGCCGCCCAAAACGAGAGACCGGGGGATGGTCAAAGAGGAATAGTCAGCACACAGCATGGGGCGGCCCTGAATCAAAGGCCAACTTCGCTGAGAACCCGATGCTTCTTTTCTTCCACTTCGGTGCTGGTCCTGAAACCCGGAGGCAGGTGCTGCGAAGGAAAACCTTCTTGCACGAGCATGATCCCCACATCTTCAAGTACGCCACTTGAATTCCCGGCTGTGATGCTCTGGAGCCGGCGTCTCGCATGGCTTCGGACGCCTGTCTGAGTGCTCTATGCGTGGAGCGAGACAGATCCTCGCGATAGAAAAGGGTGTCGCCTGATGTGAGCGAGCTTTTAGCTAAGTCCAGGCCCACTCCACTTGCATCGCGGTAGGTGACCCGCGAGAAGCCAGACAAAGCTCTCATGGACGAGCTGGCCAAGGCAGTAGTCTTGCTGAGTTTGCCAACCTTTCGAGCAGCTTGGAGCCATGTGGACTTAGCTTGGGAGCGGCAGGTCCGAGGCGATCTTCGGAAGATTCAGGACGAGCTCCACACCTCCCAGGCTCAAACAGAACTTGGCTTGATCAGATCGAGTGACGGGGACGGTGGCCTGCTCAGATCGAGTGCAAGCGATTGGCAGCGTCGGAGAAGTTGCCCGGAACCCAACTCCACAGACACGAAAAGCATGCGAAGCTGCTGTCAGGGCTCGGGAACAATTGGAAAAGACAGAGGAGTTGAGGTGCGCCCGGATTTGTTTGAAGTCCGCACACTTTGTCACACATTGCTCAGAACGGGCAGGAGCAAGGCTGCACGACAGGACTGGGATGCGACGGGATGTGGGATGTGCCTCAGTTAGCCCCCGCGCAGGGCTCGACGGCGGAAGACGAGATCCGAACGCTGCGTCAGGCCCTGGAAGAGAAGGAAGCGAGCCTGAAGGAGCCAGGCTGCCTAGGACCAGAGGATCCTCGAAAGCTCGGACCCTTTTCTTCGAGCCCCTTTTTGAGGCTCGAGGAGTCGACGCAGAGCAGGAGTCTTGGAATCCCACGTCGTCAGCACTGATCGTCCTGCCGATGCGCCCCAAGGGGGAGCGCAGTCGGCCGCGGAGCTGAAGCAGCGCTCCAATCTCAGCGTCAGAAGCGACGAGTTGCAATGTGAGGAAGATTGTGTGACTCTCAGAGAAGGTGCCTTGGAGCTGACAGAGGCGACTTGAAGTCATTGACTTGAAGTCATTGCAACAACAACTGTTTGCCTGCTTTTTCAAGCGGCAGTCAAAGCAGGCAGAGAAGAGAGTCAAGGAGTTGACCGCTGATGTTTCCCGAACGAAGGAGGCACTCAAACTTCTGAACTTGAGAGAGACTGGGCGCCCGTGGACTTTGAAAGGAGCTGGCAGCAGCACATGCACAGATCAAGGGCTTGCAAGACAAGCTGGAAGAGGCAATCATGCAAACGCGTTCTGTCCCGTGATGTGATCCGTCAATGTGCCATTGCAGGCCATGAACTCTGTAGTCGGGGGCCTAGGTCGCAGCGAGTTGAACTCAGAAGCAAAGGAAATCATTTGCGGAGATGGCCCTCAGTGCAGACCTTCCCAGGCCCAGAAAGAGACATCAAAGACGAAGGTCTTTGACCCGGCCATGGATGAGAACCTGCGCAAGGAATTGGTGCCACCCCGGAGCATGCCAGGGGCACCGCACGCACGGCTCTGGACTGCATGGTGCCGCCAAGCCCTGTTCTTTACGAATGTGGCCCCGCTGATGCAGGCATGTCCGGAGCAAGCCCATGTCGTATATAAGCAGCGGCATTGACATGTGCATTGGTTCCAAACCTGTTCCAAACTGCATAGGCTGCTACCCCGAGAAATGCTGATGTCCGCACTCAAACCAACGAACTCATTGGGTTATTCTGTGCAAGTCATGGGGGCAGACACCCCCTTCACCTGTGGGCCTTATGCCGCCGTTGGAGAAACTCCCGAGTCAGATGAGGTGGGACTGCTTGCAGACGGTGTGTTGCATGAGCTGTGTCCCGTGCGTAGTTTACCAGGACTTGCGCCTTGCTGCAGATCTTGACTCGCTTGCGCCACTGGGTGCTGAAGATGAGCAATCTCAGCCAGGCTCGTCGCAGAATCACAGTTCCGTGGGTCTTGGGACCTTTGGTGCCAAGAGCTGCATCTTGAAAAAGGAGCTCTCGCTCTGAAGACCATGAAGCTGCTTTGCACGATTCTTGGCCTCGGCGCTGTTCTCCTCGTGTGCCTTGTAACGCTGGGGGCTGCCAGGACCGCCCAGCCTCCGCGCTACGCGCGCGCTCTAAACGCGGCGACGCGGCGACGCGGCAACGCGGCGACGCGGATACCGGGAGGGAGGGGGTCGTGACGGGAGGACCAGCTGGAGGCCTTTGATGCCTGGGAACGAACCCTTGAAGCACCAGGCCAGCGGCTATGCCTATGCCGTGCTTTGAAGGAAGTGCGGTGCGGTGTCGAGGCGGAGCCGCCGGAGCCGCCTTCGCAGCTCTGGAAGCCACCGCTTTGGCACAAGGATTGGCAAGGCAACGATGTGAAGGTCGCGTCAGCTGCAAGCTCTGCTGCCGTGTTGGTGCAGACGGCATGACCCTTCCAAGGATTCTTGGGACCATTTCACAATGCCAACATGTGACAGCGGACCAAAGCCTGGTACGTTGATCAAGGCCGAAGCCGAACCACCAAGAAGTCTCTTGCTCTCCTCGATGCTGAAGCTCTATGGTCGACAGAGCCTGACATAGCTGCTGGGACTCAGGTGTGGTAGAGAAGTGCTATCTGCAGTTTGAAGGCATCAGCGGCGGCGCAGATGCGAGCAGGAGGCATCAGAAACGATTCCAGAAACCGCCAGAACCTTTGTAGCTATACATCTCCATCTGCAAGAAGGTCAGCATCGAAAGCTACGTGCATCCAACACAACGGAGCATTGGGTCTTGGCGCAGCTCGGCTTCCGCTTTCCGCGACTCTGTGACGGAGCTTGTGACCAACATGCGTCCTCGAGCCAAACAGATGTAAGATGATGCAAGGAAGCGAACGCCAGCACAAAAGGAGTGCGCAGAGCATAAGCGTGTCGCCAACGAGTACCATCAGCGATTGCCTCTTGGAGGAAATCTGGGCACGTTTGAGTCTCGTGCAGAGGCAAGGCCGTGTGGACTTAGGATCAGCGAGCATTGGGCATTTGTAAAGCGCCGCGACCAGATCCGAGAGCTTCACATCTGGCAGGGCCAGCACCGTTGCAAGGCAACCTGCATGGTGCTCGCATAGTGTTCGCACTGCACATCTGCTGTGTCCGTCTTCTGCGATGTCTGTAGTATCCCTCTTGAGGCACAGCTTGTGAACACTGCATCCTGACTGAGACAGTAGACATGACAGAGAGAGAGGGCTGAGGGGGAGAGATGGAGTCATCTGAGGATTTCGACAGCCAGATCTCTTGGGAGGATCCCAATGGCAGAGAGTCACCTGCACACTGCCAGAGGGTCTGTACTTGGAATCCCGGCTGCCATGGCTTTGCTTGGAGCAGCTGGGGATGCTTCTTGAAGCGGCTTGGTCTTGATTTTGAGCTTTCACCGAAATGCCGTGACTCATGGCGAGTGCAGCGAAGGCGGCATGAGCTCGTAAAGAAGCCGCAGGCCTGGTCGCGAACTGGTCGCTTCTCTCGCCAGTCTTCTTGTGCGTGACTGCGTTTTGGCAATGCGTGCGCGGAGGCAGGTGTCTATGCAGGCTTCCCTTGCGGAGCAGAGGACCTTTGCGATCATCCGCGCCTTGAATCTTGCTGGTTGCCGCACCCATGCGAGCAGCGGGCTTCGGCGTACCAGGAGCAGCCATACCCATGGCCTCATCAAGAAGTTGAGAAGCACACAATGCCACAACCCAAGGCCGAAAGTTTCATTACAACCCCAGCAAGTGTCAGTGACATTCGGCAATTCGACAGGCACTGCAGGTGGCCCCGGCGATGTCAACGTACTGCACCATGGTGATTTTGCCGTACTCCTACGAGGCCGGACGTCTCATCAAGCACTGCACCTGCAGTCTGGAACTTTTGCAGGTTGATCTGGTCCTCATGCAGTACCAGCATCTCGGCTGTCTGAGATTGGCAATGGAAGTTCCACTTGCATGGTTGCGCATCCAGGAACTACTACAGCATTTTTCAATGTGATCTTTGGGGAGTCCCTGCCTCAAGATCTCATCGAGTGCTGCTCATGTGGCGCTGGCATCCGTGTTCAGGTGTACAGCAGCCAGCGCTTGCATCTGGCCCCGGGGCTGGTGACGAGGATCATGAACACGTCGCAGGTGGGATTTCTTTTTCCGCCCTGCCAGCTCTTGGAGGATAAATTGCAGCTCTCGCCACACATTCTCCACACATTTTTTCTAATTTTACTAGTGTGCTTCAATCCATAAATTGAGCATGTGTTCTTTGACATCTTGAAACAAAAACAAACACACACACACACACACTGCTTCGCCGATGTCCCGCCACGCGCTGAATCGGTCGAGTTTGCCTCACCGAGCTCATGGCAGACTTTTTCAGCGCGTGCAGGATCGCTTCTTCATCTTGTAGGTCGACGTCCTGACGAGATCCTAGGGTCCTAGACCCTAGACGACTCAAACTTTTTTTGGTAACCGATGCATATCTCGTCTTTGCAGGCGCGGCTTCGTGCCTAGTCAGCTTGCCTGCACATTTAGACAACCTCCACCAACCATGAAGCGCATCTGACAAGCGGGTCTAGCGAACATGGGTTTCGAAACATTGAAACCGAGCGTCGATTGCCCGCTAAACTGAGCAAGACTGTTGATTTTCCCGACGTGGGTTTGGGACTGCAGCATAGCAGGCACAGCATCACTCGCAACCTCTGTGTCTGACAGTCTCTTGCAGTGTGGGGCAGTTCTACGGACTGAGGTTACCATGAACCGCTCGAAGGATTTGAAAGTGTTAGGAGTGCATGGTGAGCGCCTGCAATTGGCAGCATGCCCCCCCTTTGCTGGTTGCGATCTAGAAAAATGACAACACATGCTGCACCAGCTTCGTGTTTCTGCTTCACTACAGTATTCCGATTCTTCATGTCAACAACTTGATGCTGACTGTGACAGTACATTCTCCAGATTGCTGAAAGGTTACCACGGTCAACACATCTCCAGTCCATATCTTGTAGCGCACATGTACTTGTGACTGTTGAAACAGCCTTTCTTGAATCACATGTGCAGACATGAGCTTCAATGGTGCGTAGAAAATAGGTGCTCTTAGCATTCGCTCTTGCGTCAGTTGGCACCGGAGCCCGGGGACGACCCGGAATGGACCCTTGGGCCGAATACTTGGCCCGCAGACCTCTGCGACATGCACCGGCACTGAACCGCTTGGAGGACCCGCTTCTCGGTTATCACAGGGTGATTCGCGGGTGGAAGCTCTAGGAGCAAGCTCTATGTCAAGTTCATTTGGAACCTGGAATCAGAATTCGGGACATCCCAACGGAGTTCCCTCGACCTTTGGAGTTCCTTCACCAAGTGATTGGAATCAAGGAGGTGGTGCTTCCCCCTGGGTCGCGAACTTTGGGAATGCAAGTGTGAGAGGACCCTCCTCTCCTTTCTTGGCTACCGGACCTCCTCAAGGAATTCCTGGAAGCTGGGGACCCATCCCTCCAAGAGGCTTGGCATCGGCTTCAGCTCCTCAACCACCCACTTTTCAGGCTTCACCTTTGAACCTCGCGGGTGCCTTCGGTGCATCGGCATCTACTACCAGAGGGAATGAGCCCAATATAAGCTTTGATTCTCGGATGAATGCTGCAGCTGCGGCTGCCGCGAGCCTCACACCAAGGCTAGGCAGCCCTCTTCGCCCACCAAGGTGTCGTCGGCTTTTGATGTGCTGGGGGTGAGTCCACCCAAGTCTTCGGCACCTCAACCTGACCAAGGAGAACGCTTTATTGCCGCCCTCACCGGGGAAAGGAAGAATATACCATCCTGGAGCGGACAACCCGGGACATTGCGTTCCTGGTTGAAACTTCTGGCATGCTGGGAGGCTGAGGCGACTCTTCACCGCGAAAAATGGGGATTGCGACTTTACCAGTCTTTCCCCGAGAACTCCCAGCCGAGGAAGATTGCGGACCAGATCCCAATGTCTGAACTTTTGTCGGCCAATGGTTACGACTTGGTGCTGACGGCATTGATGACGAAGTACCGTCCCTACCTGCACATCGCTGGGCCGGCGAGCGTGGACAAGTTCTTCTTCGCCGGAGACCGAGGCAAGGGCAAGAGCTTTGCAAGCTTCATAGCCACCAAGGAGGTGGCTAGGCAGGAGTTGGAAACGAACTTGGGCGAGCGCCTCAATGACAAGGTGGCTGGACGGATATTGCTTCGTCAAGCTCATCTTTCAGAACTGCAGCGCGAACTGATTTCGTTGAGAGATCAGTCAACGCTGATGGGATTTGATGAGATTGCCAATATGCTCAGGCCCCTGGACAGGCCCGAGATGATCGCCCAGGCGGCCAATGCGGAGCTCGGGACTCCCGGAGGACGGCGAAGAGCTCCAGATCTACTTCGAGGACCGCACTTACGACGAGGAAGAGTCCCTCTACCTGGCAGCATACCACTCGGCCTATGCGGACGTGAGAAAGGACCGAAGAAAGAGCGTGGCTTTATAAAACACAACAAGGCCCCGCCTCAGAGATCAAGAAGTTTCCCCAAGGGATCGCACAAAGGGCAGGGCCGAGGACGCTTCTTCCGTGGCAGGTCTGCAACCCCTCATCGGAAGGGAGGGCCGAAGATGATCAAAGGATCAATGGAAGACTTACAGAGCAGAACGAAGTGCTACAATTGCCACGAACTTGGTCACTATGCCAGGGACTGCCCCCTGAAAGGTGGCGCCAGTGGCAAGGGGACGAACGCCGACAGGAAGGTGAACTTCGTGGTTTCTCGAGGACCCGGGCGGCGGCCAGGTGTTTGTGCATCAATCTCCCTGGATGCGCGTGGCAAGCTCTTGCGCGTGTGACTCTAGCGGCCCTCGAAGGACGATTTCTGTCTTCGCTGGAATCCAAGTTTCTGGGCTACGAAGCCTTGGTGGACACGGCGGCGGAGGACGCGGTGATCGGCGCCAGAGCTATGGATTCACTTCGTGCGGAGCTCGCTAAGCTTGGCTTGCAGCCTCAACCGGTTTCTCCACAAGGACCTGAGGTTCCCTGCGCTGGTATTGGGGGCGAAGCCAAACTGGAGAGTGTTCAGGATGTTCCCATCGCGGTGGCGGGCATCCATGCTCTGCTCAGGTTCCATGTCCTGCGAGATGGCGAGTTCACGACCCCGCCATTGTTGCCGATCAGCTTGCTTGAGGCCATCGGCTCCAACATCGACCTCCCTTCAGAGCGGCTGTCTACTGCGGCTGGGTACAGTACACCCATGACTCGCCTCCCTTCGGGCCATCGTACGGTGTCTATCTTGGATTTCCAAGGTCGGCCATGGACTCTGCCGCTACAACTTCGTGTGGCAGATGAAGATCCGTTTCAATTGAAGCGGCCCTCTTCTTCCTGGACGGGAGCCTCCTCGATGACAACTTCGACTTCCCACAGGACAACTTCCACCGGCAGCTCAGGCCATGAAGATTTTCGGGGGGGAAGTGAGAGCAACAACACTGCAACTTGTGGTTTCGGCATTTCTGCCCCGACATCCCTGGTGGCCTTTCGAGCCGGGGAAGATGTTGAAGCCAAGGCATGGGACTTCATGCAGAACTCAAAGTGGTCGATGCAGGACATGGATGAACTTTTGCACTCCTTGCATCCTGCAAGGTTGGACCACTTCCGCCTGATCATGCGAAAAGCCCCACGAGGCAAGGAGCCCTCACGCTCCTTCTCGGCAGTCTTCGGAGTGTATGCTCACGGCGCCTTCGTTGGAATGACAAAGTCTACTTCGAAGTATCCTTGTTTGGTGAAGTACGTCAACAGCTGGTTGAGGCACCATGCTCCAGAAGCTTCCTTCAGTTCATTTAGCATAGGTGCCAATGTGCAGGCCCCGCTGCATCGGGATGTGAATAACGAGGTAACCTCGAAGAACCTCACGGTGTCCTTCGGCAAGCACAAAGGTGGCTCGCTGTGGATTCAGAATGACGACTCTGGATTCTCTTCAAGGCAGAGCAAAACAGTGAAGGGACCACAGGGACAGGACCTCCATGGAAGTTTGGTTCGAACCCAGCATCGCCTCGTCAGTTTTTCTCCCAAATTGTGGCATGAAGTTACACCTTGGAAGGGGTCTAGGATTAGTTTGACGGCCTATACTTCCCGGGGAGTGCACACGCTGAAGCCTGCAGATGAACGACAATTGCGTGACCTTCTCTTTCCCCTCACGGCCCCTCCAGAGATTCCAGTGAGTTGCACGCTTGTGGAGTTTCAGGATGAAGTGCCGCTTGAAACACAGTGCAGACATGCAGAGTATGACCTAGAGCACGTCATTGATGAGGTGAATTTGTCATGCAACTCCGTCCCTTCGTCCTCAGCATCCTGGTTCGAGCGGATGATTTCGCGAGCAGCCAAGTGGATTACCAATTCGAACAGCCGTCCGTCCCGTCCCCTTCGTAAGAATGTCTTCGCTGAGACAACGGGCGGACCAGCTGGTGGCCAACGAGATGCGGCGGAACGAGATCCTTCCCAAAAAGAAGTTGGGCACTGCCAAGGTGGAGATGGCGTGGAAAAGGATTACGGCCCGAATTTTGATGATGTTGGCCACGGCAAGGCAGCAGATGGTGGTGGACGAGTTCTATATGCAGGACCAGATCGAGGACAACCCGAAGGAGAGAGCCTCATCGTCCCACCAGAACAGCCACAAGCCGCGCACCAAGAAGGCGGCACACATCAGTCAGGGGATCGGACAGCCACTTGCCAGATCGAAGGCCCACAAGACCTGCGCCCTCGAGCCGAGTGCCTGTCAACATCCCCCAGACAAGCTGCGTTGTCGGGCGAACTCGGTGTCACAATGGTGGACGTGCGCCCTATGCGGGAGTCGATGGCAGAGGAACGACGCAGTGGATGTCATCCAGGAGAAGCTGCCACCGACCTCCGAGAACGAGCCGAAGATCGCGGGATCTCGAGGGCAGGAGTTTCCGAAATTCCTCCCAGCGCCTCGCAGCCGACCTCACCAAGGCGACGGTCGAGTTGGACAACCACGGGAGTCCAAGAACGTTGGCTTCGGCATCCTCGAGCGAGACTGGTGGAACTGGAGCGATGCCGGCAACAACGCAGAAGGCGAGCAAGCAGCCCAAGCCGGCTACACAGCGATCGCCCTCAAGGACCCGAACAACTTCGCATGGAACGAGGATGATCCAGCCTCTCAAGAAGAATCCCAACGCGGTGAACACCGAGACCTACGAGATCAACACCGACGACGAGGCCGACACGGACGAGGAGATGCTAGTGCCCGTCAAGAGCGAAAATTAGGTCCTCGTGTTCTTCTGGATGCAGCTTCGATAACTTCGTCATCGCCGGTGCCTTTGAGGAAACTACGATCGGAGCTGCAGAGTCAAGGCTGGATTGTGAAAACGTTGCTGCTCCTGATCACTTGGGCAGGGAATGGATGGACAGCGCCGACATCGGAGTTTCTTGGAGCTCCTCGGTTTCGGATGGACTGGAGTCCGGAGAAGCAGAGCTGGGAGTGTCTGCCAGCTGAGCCTGAAGCCATCAAGACTCCTAGGACTTCGACATCTACCACATGGTGCTGCGACGTCTATGAGGACAAAATGCAAAAGTTCAATTGGCTGTTGGACTATGTCGGCCACTCTGTCAAGAACAAGGTGGACCCAGCCCTCAAGGTGATCAACAAAGCGACTAGGGAGCATTTGGCTTCTCAAGGCAGACGACTAACCGGGGACAATGAGTGCCAATCTGGTGCTCAGTCGGTCCTTGGAAATGCCGTGGATTTGCATCGCGGCTGGGACTACTCTCGAGAAGATCACCGACAAGCAGCGCTGAAGACAGTGGTGACTCAAAGACCTGCCATTGCACTACTGGGTCGAGGACCTTGGGATGGGAGATTTTCGATGGCCAAGACAACCGCAACTTGGAAGCCCAGAACGACATCTTCTACAACTTCCAGTCCATCGAATAGTAGAACATCGCATACGAGATCCACTACAACTTCCAGTCC